TTTTTATTGCATTTTAATGTTTGATAATGTTAGATTAAAATGCAATAAAAATTAAAATTTTAATAAAAAATGCTCAGCCCCATTTTCCTAGCAAACCTCCCATATAGTATTTAATTCCTCAATAAAATTTTGACAAAGTAGTAACATATTGTGTTTATTTGTGAAAACAGGCAGATATCAAATGTTTAATTATCTCGTATACTGTATATGGATTATTTTGATGAATAAATCTGTACTATACCGTTTCCTCCGAAGACTGCGCGTGTTTAGACGAACGAACTTTATTGTTTAAAGTGCTCTATTTATCGTAAAAGCTTTTTTCTTTTGTTGTTATTTTATTCATGACGCGTTGGACTATGATATGCAGTCTACTAGTAAATTTTATTATTGAAGACAAGTAAAAAATAGCATTCGCTTAAGGACCGCTTACTTTAATACGCTAATTTTAAACTCTATACGCTCTAATTTCACCTATTTATCTTAAATCATTTTATCCCAAACATTTGCATAATGTTGGGTTTTTTTAATCAATGAATGAGGAAAAGTTTTAAATATTTGTTTGATAATTTTAAATACTCCTAAGAGAATCATTTAGTTTACATCAGCATCATCACCAAAAAATCATTAATAAAAAATAAATGCTGCACAAAAATCTTCAATTAATAAATTGACTAGTAGACTAAACAGTTGACGCAAAGGTATTTAACATACGTATAAAATTTTATTAAACTTAGTTGTGCCAGCAGGAAAAAAGTTACTATATTTTTTTAATAAACAAATAAAATGAACGCAAATCCATCATTTTAACTATACAATACTAATTTCACATAAAATACATAAACTTCTTAAGTCGTTCTTTTGCTAAATTTTGCTTTCCGATCCCATAGTAAACACCAGAAGAAATCAGTTGGTATGACGAGCCAGCTATTGGTATGAAATCAATGACTTTTGCTACTTTGTTTTCAGCCGTCTGGAACGAATTAAGGACCTGGAGTTTAATTTCGTTGTAATTTAAAGACGAAAGTGTATCAGTCAAACGTCTAAGACTTTGTGCTCTTTTTCTTTGATGAATAATAACATCATCATCATCTTCAGGAGGATCTTCAAAGGGAAAATCGACCGGAATAATCGGATAATCTCCAAAATTATTCCTTAAATCTACTATGTTTTCGTCGACCCAGAACTTACCACTATGAGTAATAATAATAATGAAATTATTCTCACCCCCTTCGAATATCTCTTTAAATAAATTAAACATTTTACGATCTTCTTCAGTAAATCTACTTTTCTTTTTAACGAAAGCTATATAGTTGAGTGGCGTCTCACATTTAGAAAAATTATTTCTTATTTTTTTGACAGCCTCCTTATGCGGAACAGCTCCAGTACTTGGTTCACCTACTCCAATAGTATCATATACTATAAATTTGTCGGTTTCGCATAATTGTGTTTGCAAACTCTCACCAATCACAGTGTTATTGATTTTAAACGAATTGTCTTTTTTATGATAAATGTCACCTTGAATCAGCATGTTAGCAATAGAGGACTTTCCCTGCCTAGTGAGTCCAAAAAGAATGATACTAGTTTTTTCATTCATATTCGATGTATAAATCAATTAGGAGTATATAAATAGGCCAAAAGTTTTTCTTAAATGAACTATTATGGAAATGGGCGGTTTTCAACTTCTCTATTTCTTTGAAAAAAACGCTAGAATTCACCACTTTAAAAATTATCGGAGATGAGCAAGGAGACGCAGAGATTTATGAAAATAAAGTCTTTTAAATACTATTTTTGTCATTGTTGACCGATTTATCCATATTGTTGGACCGATATAGTTTCACTCGAAAACATTCACACGACAAGAAAAAAATATTAGCATGTGCTCCATAAAACTAGAAATTTGGTTTAATGGATAATTCTTAAGCCTCATTTCCAAATAATCCTTAACGCATAATGCACTGCATAATACGTAATATTGATTAGTCAATTGAGCAAATAAAAAACAATGGATATATTTTTATAACGCGTTATCAAAACAAAAAAAAAATTGGCCATTTATAAATTTATCACTTTATAAATCCTCGATTGGTTGTTTACAGGTTTGAAAATAGGTCGATAATTTACAAATAAATGAGGATCTAAATATGTCACATTATTTTGTGTGCGGTGCGCCACCATCCTGGAACAGATTTCAGACATTCCAAAATATATGTAGTTTACATAGCATAGAAAAATTTACTAAAGAGCACAAGAAATATTTTAGCGCATAATAAGGATAGCAGTTAATGTGTAGTCAAATTTTATTTATCATCATTACATTCAGTATAATTAAATTTAGAGAATTATATCTATCATTTTTTTAATATAATTTCCTTAGTTATATTTCGTGTAATCTTCAACTCCGTTGTCTTGACTACACCTTTTATAATCGTTTTTCCTACACATTTTTTTGCTCCCCTCGCAACTGCAATAGGAGCAGCAACAAAAGCAATATCCATAGCAGCCCCAGTTATACCATTTACAAGTCGTTCTGTTGCTAAATTTGATTTTCCGATTTTATAGTAAACACCAGAAGAAATCAGCTGGTATGCGCAGCCAGCTATTGGTATGAAATCAATGACTTTTGCTACTTTGTTCTCGGCCGTCTGGAACGAACTAAGGACCTGGAGTTTAATTTCCTTGCGATTTAAAGACGAAAGTTTATCAGTCAAACGTCTAAGACTTTGTGCTCTTTTTCTTTGATGAATAATAACATCATCATCATCTTCAGGAGGATCTTCAAAGGGAAAATCGACCGGAATAATCGGATAATTTCCAAAATTATTCCTTAAATCTACTATGTTTTCGTCGACCCAGAACTTACTACTATGAGTAATAATAATAATGAAATTATTCTCACTCCCTTCGAATATCTCTTTAAATAAATTAAACATTTTACGATCTTCTTCAGTAAATCTACCTTTCTTTTTAACGAATGCTATATAGTTGAGTGGTACCTCACATTTAGAAAAATAATTTCTTATTTCTTTGACAGCCTTCATATGCGGAACAGTTCCAGTACTTGGTTCACCTACTCCAACCGTGTCATAAACTATAAAGTTTACATTTTGGTAACCTTGTATTTGAACACCAGCACCCTTCACAGCGTCATTAATGTTAAACGAATTATCATTTTTAATGTCACCTTTAATCAGCATGTTAGCAATAGAGGACTTTCCCTGCCCAGTGAGTCCGAAAAGGATGATACTTGTTTCTTCCCTCATATTGATATATAATTTTGTCGTAAATTAACAAATCTGTTGGGACGATGTAATAGCCAAAAGCGTCTATTGAACGGATTTTTGTGGAGAAGAGCGGTTCTTCAACTTCTCTAATTTTATAAATAACGGAATAATGCGTCAAAGTTCACCAGTTTAGATATACTTGAAGATAATTGAGGGGGATGCAAGGATTTAGAAAAACAAAGTCTTTAAATACTATATTTTGTTGATTGTTGACCGATTTATACATGTTGCTAGACCGATAAAGTTACACTCGAAACTTTCACATGAGTAGAAAAATCAGAGATTTAGCACTTTATCTTCATACTGAAAAGATGAATTAATCTTTAAAGTTTCAATCTAGATGGAGGTCTATTCAACATAATTTTTAAGATGCTTAAATAAGTTACCAAACCAAAAAAAAAATTTTTTGAGTATATTGATCACTGTATAAAAAAAAGTCGGTCATTATTAGCAATAGAGGAAGTTGGTGATGTGCGGAATTCACTATTGGTCTAACAATATCAACAATAACAAAAATTTATAGTATTTAAAATACTTGTTTTTTGACATTTTGTAACTATAAATGGAAGATTTATAGTTATTCTCAACATTTATACAAAAAAGGGCATACAAAACCTTTCTAAACGTTAAAATACTGATAGATTGTTGATTTCAAGTTTGTCGTTAAAAAATTGACCAAATTTTTTAATTAAATATTTATGTGTAAATCATGCAATTTCTAGGTTGTTAGTAATAAAAAACACAATAAAATCGAACTAAATAAATAAATTAAAATAAACTAGCATCTCATTTTCGGTCGATTTTACATAGTTAGGAAATTGTTTTTAGTGATTTATTTATATATATTTATTAGCGTATTTTTTTTCGGTTAGATTGCTTTCCGTTTTTCTCTTCATCCATATAATTTAACGTCCACATATGATAATTTATACCTTAGACAGGGATCTGAAACAGTGAGTTTATTAAGTTTATTATATCGTAACTTCATAGTTATTTTGATTGGTGGGGTTTGCCACTTCAATAACCCATCAATTATTTTTTTTATCTTTTTTTACAAGTAAAACTCGAATAAAGTTCCAAAGTACTTTATTAGCTTGTTATTGATAAATTCAATTATATTACAATTTCCCGCCAATTTAATAAAATCGATAATTTATGGATAAATCAAAAATCATCTTAACACATTATTAAATTTTTAATATACCAATTTTATTTTGCTTTATTGATGAATTTACTTAGTATAAATAAGAAAAAGTAATTACGTTTTAAAGAACCATGAGAATGAGAATTTCTTCATTATTTTTCGAGCGACTGCACTTAATGCCGCACTTGTGATTAATACCTTAATTATCGCACTATCATCATGTGCACCATCTTTTACTAAACTTTCAAAAAATACCTTGGCCGCAGTTACAATCGCAATATCAATAATAGTCCCGGTCACACCATTTATAAGTCGTTCTTTTGCCAAATTTGTTTTTCTCTTCCCATAATAAACACCAGAAGAAATCAGTTGGTATACTGAACCAACTATTGGTATAAAGTAAATGACTTGAGCTAATTTGTTCTCGGTCGTCTGGATCGAGCTAAGAACCTGAAGTTGAATACCCTCGTATTTCAAATTCGAAAGCTTATCTTGCAAACGTTTATTACTTTGTTCTCTTTTCTTTCGCAGATTATCATCATCTACTTCACTACAAGGAAAATCGACCGGAATAATCGGATAATCTTCTCCAAAATTCCTCTTTAATGTTTCAAAGTTATTGTCGACCCATTTCTGATCACTATTAGTAATCATAATGATGAAATTTTTTTCTCCCCATTCAAAGATCTCTTTGAATAAATTGAACATTTTGCGATCTTCTTCAGTAAATCTAGCCTTCTTTTTAACGTAAACTATATACTTGAAAGGCACCTCACAATTAGAAAAATAATTTCTTATAGTTTTGACAGCCTCCTCATGCGGAACATTTCCATAACATGATTCACCTATTCTAATCGTATCATAAACTATATAATCATCATTTTCACTAAAATTTACCGTAACACTTGTACCAACAGCACTTTCATTAATTTCGAACGCATTTCTTTCAAGATTAATGTTACCTTGAATCAGCATGTTAGCAATAGAAGATTTTCCCTGCCCAACAGGCCCAAAAAGAATCACACTAGCTTTTTCATTCATGTTGATATGAATGTCTTCAATATGGGCATGAAGCGTTCTAATCGACTGATTAGGAACTTCAAAGTTTTAACACGGAGTCACGTTGGTTACGAATTGATAGAGGTTTTATACTTCTTGGAACTGGCGCAATAAATTGCAGAGAGTAAAAATTTAGAAATCTATGATTGTTGACAATTTATAATTATTGTTGAACCGATAGACATCCAAACAAATTATCTTTTTTAGAAATAATCATCTTTGAGTCACAATGATATCATAAAATCATACAAATCTGTATTGTGCTAAAATAAACAATTAGATAAAAAAAATTAAATGAAAGAACGGGATTCAACAAATTGAGTTAAACGAAAACGTTTAGAAACTTTATAATTTACGGTTGAAATTCTCTATAACTCATGAATATTTTGGTATAAATATACTAAAATTTGTAATCCGGAAAAATTACTTTTTTCAGTAGTTTCCGGAATAAGTTTCTCTCTATTATTAAATATAATCCAACTTGTAGGGTAAGCATTATTATAAACAAAATTGATCCAAAAATATACTTTTCGTGATTGGACGAAACTTTTATATCTCAATAGCTCTATAATTTCGTTAACTAAATGTACGTTTATAATTATTTACTTAAATTCTTTTTTATTCACAATTATGAAAAGCTTTTAATAGGTAATTTATATCTCTATTGTGATGGAAGAGAGCTATATTTTTATTATTTTTATAATTTGAAAAAAAATTTTGTTTGAGATTTATATACCCTTACAATAACGCATAGAATGTAGTCATTAATTCTTTCAAATTATCCGAATTTCTCGATGTTTTCAAAAAAATCAACGATATATTCATAATGTGATTCAAAATAATTTTTTTTTTAAAAGGTTAAGCTTTCTTTGAATTAATTTATGCATACATGTTATGCATTTTGATACGCGTTATTCATTGTTTTAATTTATTATATATATGAAATATTTTAAATTTAAACTTCAAGGAAGATGCAATATGCTTATACTCAAAATAAACCCTCTTTTTGAAAGCGAAAAATATATTCGTTATGACAATTTCAGGCGTGATAAGAGAAAAAATTATTTCTGATAATAAAGTATTATTATATGGGAGCGTTTCCAATAAAATCACATTACGGATCATATGATTTACTATGTCTCATGACTTGATTTTACTGGAAACGTTCCCATATTTGGATAGTGTACCAAACTATCATATTACCAGATTATACCTTATTTCATCAACAAACAAAATATATATCATTTGAAAATCTTATATACAAAACCCATCTCCACACCTTTAACTACTACCTTACTAGCACCTACACCTACTCGAAAAGCGCTGCCAACAAACATAATATCTGTAGCAGCTCCGGTGACTCCCTTCATAAGTCGCTCATTTGCCAAATTTTGCTTTCCTTTCATATAGTAAATACCAGAAGAAATCAGCTGGTAAGCCGTTCCAGCAATTGGAACGAAATCAATGAACTTGGCTGCTTGGTTCTCGACCGACTGGAGTCGTTTAGAAGATTTTATTTATTTGACGACTAAAATAAATGCTTATGACACGTTAAATTGTTAATCTATCAAATTAAAATACTATTGCTTGCATCTCAACATAGTCAGTCAACTTTATTCTAGTTTTATTTTTGTCATCAAGTAAAAGAAATATTATTTATAAATAACAAATAGATAAATTAATAATTCAATTACAACCCATATAAGAGTTGCTCATAAATGAATATTGACGTAGGATACATCGTTCTAACAATTCGCAATGATTATTATGGATGATAACACAAAATTCTTCTATACAGCCAATCTATTGTTTTTTTTAAAAAAAAAAATTAGAACATCGAGTTAGTTTATTATACATAATCGAAATAGCAAGTTGAAGTTGATTAAACTCAGAAAGAGAACAAAAATGAGAAACGCCAACCTATATTTAATAAAATCAATTGCCTGATAAAAGGATTGATTTAGCGTGTGAAAAAAACCCGCACCAATTATGTCGATCGGAAAATACCTTGTTTTGTTATTGTTATTAATCTTTGGTTAATATATTTTTAAAAAATTTTGATATTTTCATCTCGATTTCCGATCAAATCTTTTGTGTGATATTAGTAAAGATCAGCTAAAATTATATTACTAACCAACTAGGGAGATTACAAAATATACAAAGATTTTTTTGGTTAAATCCAAATATATCACATATATCACGTTATGTATAATTGTCATTATTTATAAGGTGAACGTGTTAGTATGATCTTAGTGGCAAGGAAACATGCTAATTCAAAGGTGACATTCTCTTGAAGACAATAAATTCGAAATTAATAATAGTATTGTTTGTTGGTGCGAGTATTACGTTAATTTTAGATGGATGATTATTTTATGGAATACAATACAATCTAATGTAGCAAGAGAACGACTTGTAAAATGGCGCTAACAGGGCTGTAATGGAAATTGCGTGATGGTGATGATAGTGTTGCTGATGCTACCTTTCCGCTTTTGATGGTGATGAAATTGGTGTTGCACGAATATAAAAAATCCACTAATTCAATTATGTCGGCATAAAAGCTAACTTGTAATAATAAATTTTATTTTCCGGAACGAATATATATCGAATTTTTTGGAGGGACCTAATAAATTTAAAACCTATGAGTCGTCATAAAAAATATTTATTGGTTTACTTGAAATATTCACAGTAACATGTCATACATAAAAAAAAGGTAGCTTAAAGAACAAAATATAATACCGGATTTAAAATAGAAATTCAAATTATTGTCTTAAGGATTATCTAAAATTGGGACTCGTGTCCATGGAGGAAAAATTGTCCAAAAAAAAAAATTTTTCTTTTTTGGCGCGAGTATAACAATATCGGTCCAACAATATGTATATATCGGTCAACAATAACAAATATATATAAATATATAATATTTAAACCACTTGATTGTAACTATAAATGGGAATTCCTGTCATTTCCAAGAAAAAGTAGAATACCGGCTATCAATTCGTGGCTCTATCTTAAATACATTTGTTTCTTTCGTTTTAATTTATTAATCGAAAATGAGTAAACAAATTATCAGTGTGGTTCTTTATGGACTCTTCGGTCAAGGAAAATCTTCTATTGCTAACATGTTTATTCAGGGTGAAATTCGTCAAAATGACAATATGTTCGAAATTAATGATGGTGTTGTTGGTGCGAGCGCTACAATAAATTTTAGTAAAAATGATGATTTCATGGTGTACGATACTATTGGTGTAGGTGAAACTGTATATGGAAAAGTTCCGCATAAAGAGGCAGTCAGAGATAAGAAATTATTTTACTACTTGTCAGGTGCCACTCAATTATATAGCTTACGTTAAAAAGAAAGGTAGATTTACCGAAGGAGATCGTAAAATATTCAAATTATTTAGAGAGATCTTTGAACGCGGAGAAAAAAATTTTATCATCATTATCACTAATAGTGAGTAGAAATGGGTCAAAAAGAACGCAGAAACATTAACAAAGAATTTTGGAGAATATCCGATTATTCCGATCGATTTCCCTTGTAGTGAAGAAGATGATGATAACGATGCTGCTGTTCAACGACGTAAAAGAACAAATAGTCTGGAACAATTTACCAAGGAACTGCTTAAAAATAATTTCAAGGAAACTGTATTTCAGGTCTTAGCTCGAGCCAGACGACCGAGAACAAAGTAGCTCAATTCACCAATAGTTGGATCGGCATACCAACTGATATCTTCTGGCGTACATTATAAGTTGGGCAAAACAAATGTTGCAAAAGAACGACTATTTGATGTAGTTACCGGGGCTGCTGCGGGTGTTGCTTGTGTTGGTGTTTTTCGAGTTGGTGTAAAAGGTGTGGTCGAATTTGGGATTGCAAGAAAGATGATTAAATGTTTCAAATCTGATAAATGAATGAATGCGATTAATTTATAAAAGATTAAACTAATTAAGTATACTAAATAAAATTTTACGTTTCAAACATACAGCATTGAAAATAGTAATCTGTTCAAAAATCGATTAATATAAATTTTAATCTTAATTTAAATTCAATTTTATTTTCGCGTGAATAATGTAAATATATTCGTTAATTTTTAATGACGTTGGCAGCTAATTATTATTATTGAAATATTTGTTTTTTTTTAACCAAAAATTGGAATTCAAAGTATTATCATCTAAAATGAGGCTTAAGAAAGGTTCTTCGCAAACCCAAATTCCCGGTTTTATGGAGGTACAATACTAAATAGTTAAAAAATGACTTCTTGACTTTTCTCGACGATGTAACTATATCGGTCAAACAATATGTATATATCGGTCAACAATAACAATGAAATATTTATTATTTAAAGACTTTTTTCCAAATCTCTGTCTCCTAGCGACTTATTCCATTATTATAAAGGAACAGAAAGTTGAGAACTTGTTCAAACTTTTTAGGAGACGCTTCTGGCCGAAATTTATATAATCCTGAAATTATTTGTTTCACGTAATTTATATCTCGAAAAGACCAGTATTATCCTTTTTGGACTCCCTGGGCATGGAAAATCCTCTATTGCTAACATGTTGATTCAAGGTGACATTTATCATGAAGGAAACGCGTTCGAAATCAATGATAGTATGCAGAGTGTGAGTGCAACTATAAAAAGTAAAACTAATAAAGAATTTATAGTTTATGATACAATTGGAATAAGTGAAACGTATTTTGGAAATGTTCCGCATAAGGAGGCTATCCAAATGACAAGAGATTATTTTTCTAAATGTGAAGATTCACTAAATTATGTGATTTACGTTAAAAAGAAAAGCAGATTTAGCGAAGAAGATCATAATATGTTCAAATTATTTAAAGAGATCTTTATGGGAAATGAGAAAAATTTCCTTATTATTATTACGGAAAGTGATCAGGATTGGGTTAATAATAACATGACAATATTAAGAAAGCATTTTGA